GAGGGAGGGAGAGAGATCACATGAAAGTACACTGAATAGCTGGATTTAATTAAGCAATGGCTCTGCGTAAGAAAATTACTTGAATATCTTCTAATGCAACTGTTCTGATGATGTAAGTTTATCAGTCTTCAGTTGGGATAAGGTTCACAGTCAAAATAGTTCTCAACTTTAATCTCAGTTTTAAAAAGGAAGGCCAATGGAAAAACTTCCAGCACCCAAATAAATTACCAAGTTCCCGGGCAGTATCAACCTTTTCTGGAGACACATATGGCCCTCTGTTACTCATATTCCTGACAAATCACAGAGACCATATCTGCGGCTTATAAGTTATGTACCACACATAATGTATGTCATGATCTCCAAGTACAAATATTTCAGGACTAAATGACACTAAAGGTATAATTCTGAATTTGAATCAAAGGACTTGTTCACTCAGGCTGGGCTATGCAGTTAAGTCTTCTCCCATTCCTGAGCTGCTTTCTAGGGCAGAACAGTCACTACATCTTGCAGGTGAGGAAAGGGGGAAACCAGATGAGGAACAAAAGAATTACAAGACCAGGAGTCTCTGGGTGCAAATCTAGAAAAGTAGGAAAGATTATAAGAATAAAGACCATAGCATTGCAATTCAAAGGATTTACTTACATATCTCAGGGCTGACGACCTTTCCAACAGATTTCCTACAAATTCAGGTAAATACTTGTACTCATCCACCTTTGCCTGTTCTGCCTAAGAATGATGAAGTTGAATTTCAATGCACTTCCATGTGACATTTCTACGCTTGTGGCATGCTTCAGTTTGAAATACACTAACATTTGCCCAGGACTAAGAGTCCAAACTCCCTTTGTCCTTCCTCCGAAGATTACATTTCTTATTTTGTGGAACAGCTCAATATTTTTGACACTTTCCAGTAACTTTTTCTTTGTTACTGGGAACTGAAGCTAGGGCCATCTCCATGTATACTAGGCAATGCTCAACTACTCAGCTCCACCCCCAGCCCCTTTCATGGTGTTTGTAATGAATTCCAAGGCCACCACAAAGCATATTTGTGGAGAATCTATACTATGAAAAATATTTGTTATAATGTTGGCTGAAAAAGGTTTTAACATCATGTTATATAAACTCAATCATGTAAACATGATCAGCAAATTAAATATAATACTGTGTAATAAACAGAACTAGAAATAAAACAAAATGCTTAGAGAGGTACGTCTGGTTGAGGTAACTAAGTAAACAAAATTTTTCACATTTTCCACATTTGCTATAATTATGATGTGTAGCATTCTAAATAAATACCTTTTCAAAATAATATGGACACCAGTATTGAATTGTGAAGGATCTCAGCTTTGGAATCAACTGGACCTGGATTTAAATCCAAACTCTACCTCTTCATGGATATTTTGTGACTTTGATGTATTCCTTTATCTATGTGAGACTTGATAATTTATATGAGTCTTGATTATCTCACTGTGAAATAATAATACCTGTGTGACAAGCTTTGTATGAGAATTACCTTAATGGATATCAGATGGCTAGCACTGTGATTGCCTCATAATAGCCACTAAATACATGGTAGCTTTAATCAAAATTAGTAATGGCAGTATAACAAACATCTAATGGAATGTAAGGAAGATACACTTTTCTCAAAATGGAAAGTGATGACAAAAATTTAGTAATACAGAGTTATCCTGATGACAGCTGCTGTGAAAAGAATGAGAACCATGCAGAGAGCATGCTGCAGGCAGTGGGCTGGCAGGATGAGTTTCACGTGTCCCAGCTCTAGGTATAAGTCAGGGCATTGTAGCACCTAATGCGTGTTCTTGTAATGAGCAGCATGTGGTACAAGAGCATGATTCTGCAGTGCTACTGATCTGCACACAAATGACATTTCCTTCAACAGCACTCAGCCTCCCAGATATAGGAATGAAGGAGAGGGATGTTCAGCCTGATTTTAGCTTAGAATTTTTCTGGGCACTAAGGATGAGAATAGGCAGGAAAGATATTGCCAGAAAATGTACCTGAAGTGTTGAGGCAGGATGAGGGGAAGTCATTGAGATAAAAGTACAGCAGTCAAGGGGCTGGAATAGACCCTGAGGCAGCAAAGGGCAGGGGTATTCAAAGAATCAGAAAAAGAGTAACGCAAGGAGAGTAGGTTCTGGACATAACTGAGGAAAATTAAGTTGCAAATGGCACAAATGGGTTTTGGTGGTGCCATTTGCAATCATAAAAAAGTTCAGTTTTTTAGGCTGGGGATGTGGCTCAAGCGGTAGCGCGCTCGCCTGGCATGCGTGCCGCCTGGGTTTGATCCTCAGCACCACATACAAACAAAGATGTTGTGTCCGCCGAGAACTAAAAAATAAATATTAAAAAAATTCTCTCTCTCTCTCTCTCTCTCTCTCTCTCTCTCTCTCTGCTCTCTCACTCTCTCTTTAAAAAAAAAAGTTCAGTTTTTAATAGAGAGCATTATCTGCACTCTCGTACATCTGAAGAGGTTGACATGAACTAGTTAGCACTCTAGAAGCCAAGAGAAGCTGCCCTGTCTGTGGGGCTGCCTGAGTCCCAAGCAGTTGCTGGGAGGCCTGTATCCCACTTGAGTGGCAGCCACAACTGTCCTCTGCCTCAAAGTGCAGTAATGGCCAGAAAGTGTGCAGCTCATGTAAACATCACTGAAAATGTTTACAAGGAATGTTAAAGAAAACCAGAGAGTGTCTGAAGAAAAGCAGAATGCAGAGATGAATACATCTTGGGATATTACTCTGGTTACAATATTTGTTTATTTTAAAGTGAATACCTCCAAGTATTTAAAATACCATTGCAGAAGATAATAACACCATATATTTGTAGTTACAATATTTGCTGGACATTCTCAAGGATCAACTTTTTCTTTACATATAGAAAGACACATACACAGCTTTATAAACAATTGCTCAAGTGAAGGAAAATGGTCTTTCAAATCTCAATACAGTTCCAGGACTTTTTTTAAAGTTATGTAGAGGAAAATGAATGATGGCATATTTCATCAATTGAATCAAGTCATCTTCTGCTACTCATATAAGATTTATTAAAAGTATTTAATCAGTGAGAAAGAATGAAATATTTAGAATTTTCAAGTAGACAGTGATGATGTTAAATGCATATGGTGTAAATATATCAACCACGTCTGTGGAAATTTCCAATTTATTTTCAATCAAAACTTTCTTCAAAAATTACAACTCATAAGACTATATTTCATCGATTACTCATTCCTCTTAAGGGAACATAACTTTCTAATGAATAAAATCAAGAATGGAAATTAATTTAGACTGGCATGCCATGTACACACAGAATATTCCAGGGAGAACAAGTGGCAAGTTAGGACTCCAAAACAGTTCCAGCAACAGGATAAGTCTTCCTAATTCCCTTGAGGTGAGTAATTTTGCTTTTCTCTCCCCTTAATTTTTCCAGTGACATCTTGCTGTACAGGCCATAGCCCTTGTCTTGAACAGGATCAAGGGGGACTCAAGCAACAAAGAAAATGAGCAAGAGTGCACACACACACACACACACACACACATACACACACACACATACACACATACATACACACATCTGTACAGATAAATCCCTATTCTTTCTATACCAAAATTGAGACATTCTGAGCACAGATGCAGATTCATTGATCCCTTCTGAGGGAAGGAACAGGCCTATTTGGTCAATTATGTTCTCAGTACCCCAAAATGTACCTGGCAGAAAACCCATGCTGAATAAATGCTGGGTAAATGAATAAATGAAAGAAGGAACACTGAGTCTTACCTGGAAAAATGCTGACAGGCAGACAAAGTTCCTGAATATCTTTTGCCAGCTAATCCTGTAAAAACAGGCACACACCAGCACACATGTATGGGTGTACACACACACACACACACACACACACACACACACACACAGCAAATCCAGACAGATAAACAAAGTTGAATCTAAAAGTACATCTCTAATGGTTTCTCACTTTCGAGGATTCTGTACTTTTATATCCTCTTAGCCTAAGACAATAAGAGGTACTAAAGAATCAAAAGGTTTCTTACATCCTTGAACACTCTGGCTGAATATTTCAAGTGTTTACATGATCCAGGAAAACCTTCTGTGGGTTACTGAAACAGATTAGCAGTTCATTAAATTCTTTTTTAAAAAACATATTTTTTTTAGTTGTAGATGGACACAATGTCTTTATTTTATTTATTTATTTTTATGTAGTGTTGAGGATGGAGCCCAGTGCCTTACACATGCCAGGCAAGTGCTTTATCACTGAGCTACAACCCCAGCCCCTCATTAAATTCTTAATCCCAGTCTTATTCCAATTCTCTCCACCAGTTGTGAAATATAAGCAATATATTCAATCTCTGTCCCCAGTATACCTTACCAATGCAGATTTGGGGAACACTATCTACATCAATCCACTGATTCCTGGCAAGGGAGTAAACAATGCTGGAATAGAAACTTCACAGAAGATGGCTTCCTGGGTAACTGGGATACAAATGGCCTCAGCTGGCAGACAGAAAGGAAAAGATATTGTAGACAGAAGACACAGCCTGAGTCAGGGCACTGAGATGTAACATTTGTGTGAGATTTAACTGTCCTGACCACTTCTTAGCATGTGAACTTTGGCATGTTACTTGAGCTCACTGGGCCTCAGTTTCCTTATCTGTAAACTGGGAATTATAAAGGATGTGAAAAGTCTTGCCTAGCGCCAAGTATAGAATAAGACCTCAATGAATATTTTTAAACAAAGTGTAATAAGAGAAAGTAGAATAGTGCTTACCAGGGACTGAAAAGACGGGGAAAAGGAATTAATGCTTAAGGGGTACAGAATTTCACTTAGGGATAAAAGTGTTTCTGGAGATGGACAGAGGATATGGTCGCAGGACAATGTGAATTACTTAATGACAACTGTATATATAAAATGGGTTAACTTTTTGTTATAAATGTTTTTACTACCATAGTGAAATTTCAAAAAACAAGAACAAAAATAAACTGAGTTCTGCCCAAAAAAGAAACACAGTGTGACTGAAATCTAGAACATCTAGAAAGGCAAGTTAGGGTAGAAACAAAGAAGTTTGAATAATCAACTGAGTCGTGTGAACCTGATGTACCTTAGAGCCCCAGGGGTACACTACGAAACACTACACTTCAATTGATAGGCTATAAAAAAATAATTCATACAGATATTTTATAAGTATCACCCTGGGAGTGGAGTACATGACTAGAAAGAAGTTGAAGTTTAAAATAGGTATAACAGGGCTGGGGTTGTAGCTCAGTGGTACAGCACTTGCCTAGCATGTGTGAGGCCCTGGGTTTAATCCTCAGCATCACATATGAATAAAAAAATAAAGTTAAAAATCCATTGGCAACTAAAAACACCTGAAAATAAGTTAATTAATTAAATAGGGATAACAATTAGACTCTTACTACTTAGAATGTGGTCCCCAACCCACCAGCAGTGGCCTTACCTGAGAGAAATTTTGAGATGTGCCCATACCCATAGCATCAGAATCACCATAGTAACAAAACTGCTAGGCAACGCCCATTCACCCTTGAGAAGCATTCAGATGGGTTCAGTTGACAGGGGCCCCAGAAACCCAGCCATAATAACCAACAACTATTGAGCTTGCTACATACAAGCTAGGTTCGGTGCATTTCACAAGCCATCAGTTAGTCCTCCAACTGTCCTGTTAAATAGATGCCATTGTTCCCATTTCCCACATGAGGATACTGAGACTCAAGAGCTGAAGTAGCTTGTCTGAAGTT